TCACGCTCCGAGACGTAAAAGCGAAGTGTGGACAGCTCCAAGAGTCCGGGGGGTTTGTATTCGCCCGTCGATCGGGAACTAGTTCCACGACGATTACGTGCGAGAGAAACTTGCTCGACAAGAAACTTTTCGCCCCGATCGAATTTGACTTTGTCAATGCCACGAGTTTGTACACGATTCGTCCGATCGTTGTTCCCCCTTCCTCTACAATTTCTTGCTGAAATATTGCTGACGACTAATTCGTAGCCACCAAACAAGATTGCAAGATGATACAGCCAATTGACCGGGTTAGGATTAATATTATTTGTGTTGCTGTTTTTGCTATTGCTACTGCTTTGGATGTTGCTGTTGCTTTTGTCATTGTTGCTGATATTGCTGATGTTTCTAATATTGCTGATGTTGCTGATGTTACTGATGTTGCTGATGTTGCTGATGTTGCTGATGTTGCTGATCAATGTTACTGTTTTTCTTCATGTAGTCCTTACATCATTGCTGCTGTTTTTCTTCATGCTGATGTTGCTGATGTTGCTGATCAACGTTGCTGTTTTTCTTCATGTAGTCCTTATATCATTGCTGCTGTTTTTCTTCATGCTGATGTTGCTGATGTTGCTGATCAACGTTGCTGTTTTGCTTCATGCTGATGTTGCTGATCAACGTTGCTGTTTTTCTTCACGCTGATGTTGCTGATCAACGTTGCTGTTTTTCTTCACGCTGATGTTGCTAATGTTGCTGATCAATGTTGCTGTTTTTCTTCCTGTAGTCCTTGTTATCATTGCTGCTGTTCTTCATGTAGTTCTTATTATTGTTGTCACTATAGTTGTTTGTATTATTATTGTTGCTGTTGCTGTTCCCCTTTGTATTCTTGTCCCTCTTTACTGTCGAAGAATTTTCAATTTTCATGGAGCTTTTTAAGGCAGCCTCCATGGGGGTTGACTTTTTATTCCATTTGCAGGGAGTAGAATCGAGTACCGTGTCTTCGTTCGTATTCATTTATTGGAGCCTGGCCAAACTATTACGTTATACACGGTGAATAGAGTAAATTGTTCGACCAGCTTTCCCTTGCTGAAGCTTTTTCAACCGGCGAAGTAGATTAGTCTGTTAGGTAGAAGCTCTCGTTCCATGTTATTTTTCAAGCTGTCGTTGCTGCGCCGTTAATTAACAAAATATTCACCACTACCCCGAGTTAGCCTTCCCTTTCAATGCCACCACTTCGGTCAGCTTCCTCTTATTAAATCGCTCACTCTTTGTATCCTTGCGAGGCTAACAATTTCGACAGAGGTTCAAGATACTGACGGTATATCGTAAAGTAGGTACGCATCTCCTTCGAAAAATAAAAGCGAAACAAACTGTAATCAAAATTGTACAATAAATTCAACTTCCTTGTAATGAATAGCGTTTGCTATTCAAAGTGATTTAAAATATAAACCAGTTTCGAGTATTAAGTGACACGAAGTTATGGGAGCAAAGTGGATTTGGAGCAAGAAAAAAGTGTCAAGGTCCATGCACAAGAGCTACAGGGTGTTCAAAGGATTGATTCAGTGGTACAAAGTTGACCCAGCAACGGTGTGAACAGTTAACCAGGTCAATAACTCTGATAAAGTCTTATCAAAGACACCGATCGCCCTTTGAACTCACGAAAACCCCGAAACACATCGATGTTATTTTTCTGGCAAAAGTACCGGTTCAAAGAGGCGCCGCGCATTTTCTATTTATATCCAGGGCGAACCACGTGGGCGAATGCATTGTTTAATCACAGTCGATTAAACGGCAGAGACCATCCCCTCGAGGTAGGGCCAATGTCCTTAATGAATCGATTTGGACACGGCCGCGATCATTAATCTATCGGATTCACTCGCGAGCGAGTCTCGAAAGCTAGGATCGATCGAACTGCATCGTCCACGCTCCTGTAATTAACGCGATGTACCTTCGAGAGGGTCATACAGGATACTCGACTCGCGCGATTCCTTTATGAGCAAACATCGTGTGAATTAGCGAGCCAATTATGGCGTACGAACCTTGTTCATCGTTATGCTATTGACACTAGATTCGCACACAACTTGAGTGAATTCTGGGCCAAGGCAATGTTTGGAGAACTCGGGGCATTTCGAAATTGCAGATGCACGATACATAGCTCTAATTTCGTAGATTGATGACTTCGTCTAATATTATTGATATTTTATTAGAAATTTAATTTTAGAAATTTTATTTTAATTCTCTTTGTCACAAATATTCAAACTTTCATGTTTGTAAATTGTTGACTTATTAGTCAAGAATATACAGGAGTTTAAATATTATTACTCAATAAATATTTACTCAAATAGTTGCAGAAGTTTTTAAATCATTACACTTTGAGATGACAAAGTTCTCAGATAAACAGACTTCTGTATCTGCAAATTACTATGTTCTCAAATTCTAAAATCCCTAAAGCTTTACATCTACAAAGCTCCATAACCTCAAATTCCAGCAACCACTAATCTCTTCGGCCCTAAATCTCTACGTCCTCAAATCTTTCCGTTTACAAATCCATATATCCACAAATGTTTACGTGTTCAAATCCCTATGTCTCCAAATTCCTAGGTTTCCAACTTGCTATGTCCACAAGTCGCTACGTCCCTAAATCCTTACATCCACAAATCTCTGCATTGCCAAATCTCTACATCCTAAAATCACCACATCCCAAATATCCTACATCCCCAAATTGTTATATTCCCCAATCCCTGCATCTCTAAATTCCCATGTCCCCAAATTCTATATCACGAAAAACCCAATCCTCCAACTTCCCAAATCCCAAAATTAGACAAAACCTCAAATTTCTAAATATTAAACACCCTAAACTTGCATCCATAATTATTCACAAATTAGCCTTCTAAAAATCCGCAAATGAAATATGAAATGTCTATAATTTCCGAACTTGAATTTGACAGGTTTCGCAGGCACGCACTAGTCATAGAGCACTCGTGAACTCTACTTTTGAACTCACTGAAAAGTGCATATCAACGCTCCCACTCTGTGAAGCTCTATAGAAGTACTATACTGACCCTCTTCAGGGTCCCCGTAATTGAGTTTCTTTGACCTCTGTAACACAAATACGACCGTGTATTCATGAAACACTTATGAAACCTACTCTTTGACTCGAAAACATGAATAAAGGACAAGCTTGTACAGTGAAACTAGAAGGTTCTAACAACAAAATCGTATGGTATCTATAACCTTCTCAGGCACGAGTGTACTCGCACGAATTTATAGAGTACTCATAAACGCTATCTTTTGTCTTCGGAAGGATGACCACTTAACTTTATGAAATCTTCTGTGGACAACAAAGTCATCGACTGTCTCTATAACCTTCACCTTAATACGAGTGCATTCATAAAATACGAAACGTACCCTTTTCAAAACGTAAACGACCACTTAACCTTATGAAACTTTACAACTTTCGAGGAGGATCCACGTAAGCTTCTGATACGACTGTGCCTGTGTGTGTTTAACATTCATGAAGCGTGTCCTTTGTCGTCAAAACGTTTGTGGACTATCACCTAACCTTACAAATCTTTGATGAAACCTTCTCTGAACGACGAAAACGTAGACTAACGTCAGCTTCACCTTGACTGATGTATTCAAATGAATTCATAGAACCATAACCTCTGTGCGTTCTGTTTATAGAAGAGGTAGATGTACATTGATTTTTGGTCTATCATGGACAACAAAGATTAAGATCACTCATATGATCTTCATTGTGGAGGTGTACACATGTGTTCATAGAAGATGTTCATAGAAAAAGATGACCACGTAACTTCGTAAAACCTTGCACATCTCCCATGAACAACAAAGGATGTCTATAACCTTCACTCTAATACAGGTGTACTCACATGAATTTGCAGGACACTCATAAACTGTATGCATTTCCTTCATAGAAGAAGCGGATGACCACCTGTCTTTATAAATTCTTGCTGAAGTCTTCTTTGAAGAACAAAGCTAAAACTACCCCTATGGTCTTCACCATATACAGATATACTCACATGCATTTATTCAACATACATACACTGTATTTTCTGTATTTAAGAAATTAGTAGATGAGCACCTAATTTTATGAAACCTTGCTAGAGTCTTCCATGAAGAGTAAAACTAAAAACCACCCCTAATAACTTTCACCATAGCACAGGTATACTCACATGCATTCAACATACCTAAACCATAAGCAATACCTCCAAAAACTAGTAGATGACCACCTAACTATATGAATTCTTGCTAGAGTCTATCATGATGAACAAAGCTAAAAAGTACCCCTAATAATCTTCACCTTAACACAAGTATACTGACATGCATTCTAAATCATAACCCATATGTTCAAAAACTAGTAGATGAACACCTAACTATATGAATCCTTGTTAGAGTCTATCATGATGAACAAAGCTAAAAACTACCCCTAATAACCTTCACCCTAAACACAGATATACCCACATGCATTCAACCTAAACTGTAATCCATACCTTCAAAAACTAGTACATATCCACCTAACTATATGAAACCTTGCTAAAGTCCATCATGACGAACAAAGCTAAAAACTACCCCTAATAACCTTCACCCTAACACAGATATACCCACATGCATTCAACCTAAACTGTAATCCATACCTTCAAAAACTAGTACATATCCACCTATATGAAACCTTGCTACTTTTCAACAAAAAATCCAAATCCCATAACCTTCACCCTACAACAAGTGCACCAGTAAAACGAAGCCCTCCAAATAAAGATACATAGAGTAAATCCCTAAGAACCTTAGCAGCTGACCAGTTGACTACGAAACCTTGTTAAAGAGCACGACGAGCAGAGTCACAAATCACCCCCATAGTGATCATTTCCCTCATAAAAGGTAGGCCAATAACAAGGCAGTATCGGGCATTAAGATCGATGCGCGATAAAATGAAGCCGTCATGCGCAGACGGTCTCCGTGCTCGCTCGAAGGAAAAAGTATTCTTTGAGAAAGGAAATTCAACTCACCAGACGAGGAACGCTTCATCCTGGACTGGTTGCACGAGTCCCGTAAGCAACGTCGAAAACACGTTCAGCTTCGATCCGTTTCCTGGACACATTTTCCGCTCCCGTAGATACAGATCCACCTTTCCAAGGGAAAAGAACAAAAATTCTATTACGAGACGTGCATATTGAAACGATGACGCGTGAAACGTAAATGGAGCAGCGAGGAATGCGGAGATTCTGAATAGTCTTCTCGGGAATGACAGATCACCGGCCTTTTGTCCGTCGATGATGAAATATGAGTCTGTCAATATTGCTGGACATGGTTTTTTATTTCGAGATTGGATCTTCAAGTTCTTGTGCGAGGAAATTTGCGAAGGAACAATTTTGAATTTCTTAAATTTTGATGTACGTGAATTATATACATATTCTTATTTTTGTAAATTCTTTAAGACTCAAGTTGTCAAACTCTTGGATTTTTTTAAACTTTAAAATCTCTAAAGTTTTTAATTGTCGTGCGAACAAATTGTCGAATTTACAAGTTTACAAATTTTCAAATGCTGATGTAGCTAAATTCCTTACATGTATTATTCTGAAATTATTTCGTGAAACTTTCAGAACCTCAAACATTCGAATTCCTTAAAACTTAAAAATTTTCAAATTCTTCAATTCTCATGTGTTGAAAATGTCGAATCTACAAGTTTTCAATTTCTCAAGCTCAGATATACCCAACTTCCCAAAATTCTCAAATTTTCCAGTGCCCAAACTCAAATTCCCAATTTCCCAAAAAACTCGAATTCTCAAACCTCCAAAATCTCCAAATTATCTGACTCCTAGCTTCTGAACCCCCAGAATCCCCAACTTCTCAAATTCCTAGCTTCTCAATCCCCAAAATCCCCAAATTCCTAAACTCTCAACTTCTGAACCCCTCAAAATCCCCAACTTCTCAAATTCCTAGCTTCTCAATCCCCAAAATCCCCAAATTCCCCAACTCTCAAATTCCCAGCTTCTCAATTCTCAAAATCCCCAAATTCCCAAACTCTCAACCTCTGAACCCCTCAAAATACCCAACTTCTCAAATTCCCAGCTTCTCAATCCCCAAAATCCCCAAATTCCTAAACTCTCAACTTCTGAACCCCTCAAAATCCCCAACTTCTCAAATTCCCACCTTCTCAATCCCCAAAATCTCCAAATTCCTAAACTCCCAACTTCTGAACCCCTCAAAATCCCCAACTTCTTAATTTCCCACCTTCTCAATCCCCAAAATCCCCAAATTCCCAAACTTCCAACTTCTGAACCCCCCAAAGTCCTCAACTTCTCAATTTCCCACCTTCTCAACCCCTCGACACCCCACCTTCTCAAATTCACCCTTCAACCTCCTCAAATTCCCCGAAAACACACCAGAGAAGAAAAGTCAATTTTCCAGGCAAATATTTGAACACGATTCTATCTAAGGCACGAAAACACTCGATATTCTAGTATTCATGTTTCAGCAGAACAAGCCTATCCGCAAACGTTCTTCTCGTGTTTCCCGTCAAATATGCGTCGGCCAGCATCGCTTCGATTATGCAAATAATCGGTTGATTGCGCGATTAATCGATACGGGGATCGGCGGAACACGGATTATTTTGCCTCGTCGATGGCCAGTCGTTCGAGGATGCAGAACGCTTATCGGGATACTTAAAAAGTATGCCCATTGTTTCGAAGGACACGAAGCCTTCCTCTAACGGGAACGATCGAATCGGGTCATTGGTGCACCTTTGTCTCGATACCTCGCTGAGAAACTTCACGATCGACTGTTTTATCCCTTTCTTTTTTCCTTTAATTCTCGCTGTAAACGATGCAACGCTTTTTTACCTTGTTTTCGATTTTAACGAGAAGTAATTGTAAGTGAAATTTAATCAAGAACCAATGAAACTCTTATTTTCTCTCTGCTATTGTTTTCATTCATTGCGAACGCTGCATGGCTTTCAATAACTCTGTTTTTTTTTATGGCAATAATCTGATGAATTAATTTTAATGAAGAATGAATTGAAATTTTTAAATTTTATTTTCGTTTAAATGGTACGTGCTTTTTAATACCGTCCCTTTTTACCTGGTTTCGGGTTTAACGAGAGGTAATTGCAAATAAAATTTAATCGAGAACCGATGGAATTTGTATTTTCTCGCGGGTATTGTTTTCATTTATTGAATGATGTATAGCTTTCAACATTGTTTTTTATGGGGAATAAGCTGATGAATTAATGTCGAATTTTCTGTTTACGTGTTTGTTTTTTTGGGAGGAACAATACTGACGTATTAGCTTCAATCAAGAATGAAACTTTTGTTCCTACGATATTTCATTCCTTTCAATTTTTATGCAATCACCTGTCGATATTATCTTGCATTTTTATGAGAATGGTGAATTTGTTTGAATGTAAATTATACTTCAGATTTGTTGTCTAATTATTGAATTATTATTGAAGTCATATTGTAATTAACTTTAATAAGATTTGTCATACTATGATAATTAATTTTAAGATCACTTATATTATCAAAGCATAATTAATTTTATTGAGATATTAATGAATCTATAATGCAATTAATTTTAAGATCAAGTGTAATACTGAATTATGATCCAATTAATTTTATTACGATCACTTATCAAATCACAATACAATTAATTTTATTGAAGCAAAATTTTATTAATGTATAATTAATATTATGAAGATCATGTTCACACATATCAAGTTTCTCATTAAATGATTCGAAAATTCAGTTTCATAATTCATCACCCTTTCATCGATGTGAAAACTTCCCATTCTCAATGAATATTCGCTTGTAATTAACAGTAATTAATAATTAATATACACTGATTTAAATCGGAAAATGTTTACGTTACAAATTTGATAATCTGTGTTATTCACACGAGTGACACTTCATTTACACCAAATGCCGTAATTAACTTTTAAAATGTTTCCGAAGTATACAGAAAGCAGTGCATGTATATAACACTAATTAAAAAATTCGTTGAAAAACGTGCGATGGTGGGCCATTTTGCACACGTGGCCGCTCAACTAGTTTTAATGCGGCCAACGAGCGACGTCTTAAGGGCTTGTCGGCTGTTTAAGTGTCATGAAAACCACCCTTACTCTCTGGTTGCCTTTCGCGTGTGTTCAGGCATGTGCTGTTGCGTCCAAATAAACTTGCGAACTCGTGTTTTCTTGTATTTCGTTACTAAAATATAGTCAAACTTCCCACTGTCAGTACTACACTTCCAAACGTTCGATGAATACTTTTAAATTAGGAATAAAAATTATACATATAATAAATAGGGGATGAAACTTTATATTAATTTAAAGTGTGTTCAAAGTATATTCATTTGTGCAATTATTCTTCATCTCCATGAAAGTTATTTCAGTAAAGAATTCTTTATTTCTCTACTTTATATTAAGGAATCTAAGATGCGCCATTTTGATGAATTTCGTAAACGTTAGATCAAATACAAAATGGCTACGTATGAGTTCAATACGTTAAATTAAATATTTATTTCAAAGTTATTTCAACAAAGACAATTTACTTTTGTAATTTATATTAAGGAACCTCAGATACGCCATTTCGACGAGTTTCGTAAAAGTTACATTAAGTACAAAATGGCTACGTACGAGTTCAACATGTTCGAGTTAAATATTTATTCAAAATGAGTGATTCATCCACTGAAGTTCTTGTAGCTTTGAAAAGATGAAAAGAAATAATTTTGAGTAATCCAAGAGTAATTAATGGTCTCCATTAATCTTTTTAAAATGGCAAACTAACATAAAATGCCTACATATGAATTCCACACATGCAAATTAAGTATTTATTCAAAATACTAGCCTACCAGAATCCTTATAGCTTCGAAAAGAGTTAAAGAAATAATTTTGAGTAATCAAACAGTAATTGGCCAACATCAATATGTATCAAATTAACATAAAATGTCCACATATGAATTCCACTCACGCAAATCAAGTATTTACCCAAAATACTAACCTACCAAAATCCTTATAGCTTCAAAAGGACTTAAAAAAATAATTTTAAGTAATCGAAAAGTAATTGGTAGTCTCTTAAGTTATCCTGAACGATTAACGACGTGGAAACGGGATTATTCGAGGATCGCGGCGAGTTGCATTCAGAGGGATGGTTGTAATAAGAGGAATTCGAATAGTAGACCGATCAAAGGTAATTCTAATTCGCAAATTACAAGCGACTACAGCCGCCAGGTACGAAAAGGTGTCGGTTTTAAAGCCACCGCCGGCTCCGCAGAATTAATCCATTAAACCCACGGGACGACGGGAACGAAATTAGACGGAATTAATTCAACAAATTACACCGCTCTCTCGTCGTTCAAGCGAATTGATTATCCGTAGATCTCGCCGACTTTTCCAGAACTGGAGAACTCTCGGAGAGCTGGCTCGCGAAAACGTGTAAATCTCGTTAACGTCTTGCTTTTATCCCTTCGTTCGATTATAAATTCTATTATTTTACCTACTCGAACTCCCTCGATTCGAATTTCACCGGATATCTGATTTACTCGCTTCCTAAAACAATTTTTATTTCAACGACTCTTGTAATTAATCGAATAATGTAACTCGTTTAAGCCACGTGATTTATTTTTTTGAAGTCTCTTTAGCTGCGGGTCTCTATAGACAGGTCTCTATAATATGTACTTTGCAAAGGAAAGAAATCATATGATACATATGTGATATCATAAATTACTTGATCTACAGCCTACATAAGATATATGATGGACGTAAAAATATGTAGTTAAACATAAGATGAATTTTTATGCATTTGTATTGAAGCATGCAGAGTAAACATTAATTGTGGAATTTTTTAACTGTGAAAAAAAAAAATAAATTATACTTCGTCTTGATATATTATAAACACTTGATATACAATATCAATGTATTATAATAAGTCAAAAGTGTTCTATAAGTACAATTAATATATTAACTACTGTAAATCAATATATGAACTAAATTGTATTAACATAACTAATTTACACTAAAATTTAAAACAGTATAAAAGTTGTCACTTCAATGAGTTTTCAATTAGTTCAATGACACAATGGAAACATCGAACACCTTTGAGGAGTTCAATTGATGCAGTGCAGA